AGGCCGAGGTTGGCAGATGCCTGGGGACGGGTCTGCGGAGGCGGCCCAGGGGCTGAGGGAAGGTGGGTCCCCTTCTGGGTCTGGCGGGGTTGCCCCGCCGTGTGGGCCAGCCCACTGCAGAGAGCTGGAAACTGAGGCTCTGGGGACAAGCCAAACCCCACGGTATCTGAGCCTCCAACTCTTTGCTGCCAGACACACGTTGGGGGTCACATGGGGTAGGTAGACAGAACCCCTGACCCCCGAGGGACAAAGAAGCTGGGAGTGGAACCTCCATTCTGGTGCCCTGACCCGCAGTTCTGGTGCCGTGGCCTCAAATCCGAGCTGGTGCAGATGGGTAAACTGAGGCACAAGGAAGCTGGGGCTCCTCCATGCCTCCAGATCCAGAGTGGAGGGAGGTAAGGGGAGCAGAAGCTCAGGGCCATGGGGCTGGAGCGATAGCACAGCGGGTAGGGCGTTTGCCTTGCACGCGGCCGACCTGGGTTCGATTCCCAGCATCTCATATGGTCCCCCGAGCACTGCCAGGAGTGACTCCTGAGTGCTGAGCCAGGAGTAATCCCTGAGCATCGCGGGTGTGACCCAAAAAGCAAAAAAAAAAAAAAAAAAAGAAGAAGAAGAAAAAGAAGCTCACAGACAGACAGTTGTGGAAGGACAGCCGAGGCCATTTGATAATGTAGTTGACCTTTGACCTTTGGAGGGGCGTTTGGGCCACATCTGGTGGTGCCCAAGGGCTGGCTCCTGGCTCCGCATGCTAGGGATCACTTCTGATGGTGCTTGGGGGACCCTCTGGGATGCCGGAGATCCAACTGGGGTCTGCACGTGCAAGGCAAACGCCCTCCCCGCTGTCCGACGGCTCTGGCCCCGTACGTGTCTATGTTTTGGTTTTGGACTCACACCCGGCTGTGCTCAGAGCTGACTCCTGGCTCTGTGCTCAGGGATCACTCCTGGCGGAGCTCGGGGCACTCTGTGGGGTGCCAGGGAACAAACCCGGGTCAACTGCACACAAAGCCAGCGCCCTCCCCACTGTCCTAAAGCCCCAGCTGCCCCCTGGTCCCTGTAGATGCTTTTATTGGCTTATTTTGGGGGGGGGTCACATGCAGCAGTATTCAGGGCTGACTCCTGGCTTTGTGCTCACTCCTGGCTTTGACTCGGGGGACTGTCTGGAATACCAGGGTTCGAACCTGGGTTGGCCATGCACAAGGCATGTGCACTACCTGTTGTACTACCACTCCAGCTCCCTTTTACTTATTTATTTATTTATTTTGCTTTTTGGGGTCACACCCAGTGATGGCTCTGCACTCAGGAATTACTCTTGGCGGTGCTCAGTACTCGGGGGACCATCTGGGATGCTGGGAATCGAACCCAGGTCGGCCGCGTGCAAGGCAAACGCCCTCCCCGCTGTGCTATCGCTCCAGCCCCTCCAGCCCCCCCTTAAATGCTTCCTGTGCCCCTGAGCACGCCTGGCATGGGAGCCCCTGGCCATGCCCTCCCACAGGCTGGGCAGCAGATGCAGTGGGCACCGGGGCAGGCAGATCCAAGCAGCTTGTCCGCTCCTTGGCACTGCCCCCCTGAGCCTCAGTTTCCTGGCTGCCAGTTCAGAGGGGGAGGCGGGGGCAGCCTGTCCCCCAACCTTCTGCAGTTTGGACCTTTTATGTGCTAATAAGTCCTCCTGGGAGGCCCCCGCCTTGTCCCCCCTCAGTCCAGGCCGCCTTTACATGACAGGGACCCCGGGGACCGCTCTGGGGAGATCTAAGGCCGCCTGATGCGGTAGCCCGAGGCGGCCACGAAAGGAGGCTGGTCCCTCCTCGTACGTTTGACCTCCATCCTCAGACACGGCTGGGTCAGGGGGGTTCCTGGGGGAGGGCGGGGGGAGCCTGCAGGCATGACCTGGAGGCTGGGGAGCAAGAGACTGGGGGGCCTGCAGGTTGGGGGTGTCTCAGAGGAACAAGAGGTGGAGCTCGGCGTGAGGAGGGAATCGGCTCAGAGACCGCTGTGCTCTGAGCCGTGACCCAGTGGGGAAACTGAGGCCAGGGTAGGTGCAGAACTAGCTTCAGGACTGTGTCCCCACCCCCAGTGGGTAGGATGGGGTTGCCCCGGAAGGGGGTGCCCACTGATGACCAATAGTAATATTTTGTTTTCGTTCTTTTTTTAAATTTTTTGTTTTGTTTTGTTTTTTGCTTTTTGGGTCATACCTAGGGATGCACAGGGGTTACTCCTGGCTCTGCACTTAGGAATTACTCCTGGCTGTGCTCAGGAGACCATATGGGAATCTGGGAATCGACCCGGGTTGGCCGTGTGCAAGGCAAACGCCCTACCCGCTATGCTATCGCTCCAGCCCCTTTAAATCTTTTTTTTTTTTAAAGTTAGTGGGAGCTGCAGCAGGATGACTGTTTTGCACGTACTGACCCAAGTTCAATCCCCGACATCCCATTGGGTCCCCCGAGCACCTCTAGGGTGACTCCTGAGTACAGAGCCAGGAGTAACCCCTGAGCATCACCAGGTGTGGTTTAAAAACAAAAACAAAGAAAGTTTTTTGTTTTGTTTTACTTTTGTTTTTGGGGGGTCACACCCAATGATGCACAGGGGTTATTCCTGGCTCTGCACTCAGGAATAATTCCTGGTGGTGCTCGGGGGAGCATATGGGATGCTGGGAATCGAACCCGGGTCAGCTGCGTGCAAGGCAAACGCTCTACCTGCTGTGCTATTGCTCCAGCCCCATGAAGAAAGCTTTTTTTTTTTTTTAATTTTTGGGTCACAGCCGGCAATGCTCAGGGATTACTCTTAGCTCTGCACTCAGGAATTACTCCTGGCAGTGCTCAGGGGACCGTATGGGATGCTGGGAATCGAACCCAGGTTGGCTGCATGCTAGGCAAACACCTTATCCGCTGTGCTATTGCTCCAGCCCCACAAAGAAAGTTTTTTTATGGGGCTGAAGAGATAGTACAGTGGGTAGGGCATTTGCCCTTGCACATAGTTGACCTGAGTTCAATCCCTGGCACTCCAAATGGTCCCCTGAGCCCTGTCACAGAACCAGGAGCAAGATCTGAGTACTGCCAGTGATGGCCCAAAATTTTAAAAGAATTATTTTTTATATATCTTAGGATTTTGTTATTGCATTTTTTTTTTGTTTCTTTTTGGCTCACACCGAATTACTCCTGGCGGTGCTTGGGGAACCATATGGGATGCTGGAAATGGAACCCGGGTCGGCCGCGTGCAAGACAAATGCCCTACCTGCTGTGCTATTGCTCCAGCCCTTGTTATTACATTCTTTTTTGGGTTTGGGGTCAAACCCAGTGGTGCTCAGGGCTCACTTCTGGCTCTGTGCTCAGGGATCACTCCCAGTTGACTTGGGGGGACCCTATAGGGCACCAGGCATTGAGCCCGGTTCAGCCCTGTGCAAGGCAAGCGCCCTCCCTGCTGTGCTATGGCTGCAGCCCCAGGAATTCAGCTGTGTAGACCAGTGGTCTTCCTCCATCATCTCCCGGCCTTTGCTATTTTCCTGCTCTGTTTCTTTATATCCCACAGATGAGGGGGACCCTCTCTCCTGTCTGACTTCACCCAGCCTGGTATTCTCCAGTTTAATCCACATAGCAGCAATTGCATGATCGTGGTGCGTGTGTGTGCGCGCGCGCGCGTGTATGTGGTGTGTCTGGGTGTGTGTCTGGGTGTGTGTCTGGGTGCTTGTATTCCGCCATAGACATGTACCATCATTTCTTTTTCCAGTTCTTGGACACTTGGGTTGTTTCCAGATGTTGGCTTTTGTTACTAGTGCTGCAGTGAACACAGGAGTGCAGATGTCTTTTCTGAAGAGTTTTGGGTCCTTGGGGTAGATGTCCAGAAGTGAAATTGCTGGGTCACAGGGAAGCTTGATGCTTAGTTTTTTGAGAAGTGCCCTGTTTTCCAAAACGGTTGGATCATCTGACGTTCCCACCAGCAGTGGGGGATGAGGGTTCCTTTCCCCCACTCCCCCACCTCACTGCCTGTTCTTTTTCTTGGGGGTGGGGTGGGGTGGGGAAGGCACACCCAGGGGTGCTCAGAGCATTCTCCTGGCTCAGTCCCTATAGGATGCCAGAGATCAAAGCAAGTGCCCTACCCACTGAACTATGGCTCCAGTCCTTACAGTTGTTCATTTTGCACGGGTAATGTTTTTGGAACAGTGTTTCCTGGGGTTGGCAACCCCCCGCCCCGCCCCCCACCGCACAGGCTCCCAAACACCCGCCCACCCAGCAGCTGGAGAGTTCTGGGATGGGGTGGGGAGCTTAGAGCCATGTGATACCCAGTTACTGCCCTTTCCTGTCTTGCACAAATCTGGGGTGGGGGGCGGGCGGGCTCAAGCCCATCCTAGATCTGAAGATACAGCAGGGTGGGTACTCGAGGCACGAACCCTGTAACCCCCCTGTGCTTGCTTGCCCCACCCGGCCCCAATCCTTAGGTTGACCCTCTTATTTCTCTCGCCTAGATTTACCCATTACCCACTCCCTAACCACGCCCCTTCCCTGTTGACCACGCCCCGTTTGCTGCTGTGAACCGCCCCTAACCACGCCCTTCCCTGTTGACCACACCCCGTTTGCTGCTGTGAACCGCCCCTAACCACGCCCCTTCCCTGTTGACCACGCCCTGTTTGCTGCTGTGAACCGCCCCTAACCACGCCCTTCCCTGTTGACCACATCCCGTTTGCTGCTGTGAACCGCCCCTAACCACGCCCTTCCCTGTTGACCACACCCCGTTTGCTGCTGTGAACCGCCCCTAACCACGCCCCTTCCATGTTGACCACGCCCCGTTTGCTGCTGTGAACCGCCCCTTCCCAGCTGCCTCCTTGATGATTGGCCACGCCTGTGACGTCCCTGAGCTAGCCCCGCCCTGCCTGACTCCTCCTTCTCTGATGGCCCCGCCCCTCCTGGTGTAACCCCGCCCACCCGGTTGACCCCACCCTCGTATTGCCCCGCCCCTTGCGCCCTGGCCACGCCCCTTGCGCCAGCCCTGATGCCCGGCTTGTCCCTTAGGTTCCACGCAGGCTCCGAGGACGACGGCGGGGGCTACACGGTGGAGGTCAGCATCAACGACTACCTGGACATCTACTGCCCGCACTACGGGGCGCCGTTGCCGCCGGCTGATCGCATGGAGCATTACGTGCTCTACATGGTCAACGGCGAGGGCCACGCTTCCTGCGACCACCGGCAGCGCGGCTTCAAGCGCTGGGAGTGCAACCGGCCCGCGGCCCCGGGCGGGCCCCTCAAGTTCTCCGAGAAGTTCCAGCTCTTCACGCCCTTCTCGCTGGGCTTCGAGTTCCGGCCGGGCCATGAGTACTACTACATATGTGAGTGGCGCCGGACGTGGGGGCCGCGGGCCACTTGCCACCTCTGAGTGTGTGTGTGTGTGTGTGTGTGTGTGTGTGTGTGTGTGTTGCAGAGGAAGGCCCGGGAACACTGTCTTGGGGGTTGGTCACCTTCTTTGGGGGAGCTTTGGGTCTTGCACAGACTCACCGAGCCCTGTCACAGTTCCCATTTTGCAGATGGAGAAACTGAGGCCCAGAGCGGGCTCAGCTGGCTCCCTGCCCACCTCACTCATACATAGAATGGCTTTTTTTTTGGGGGGGTCACACCTGGCGATGCACAGGAATTACTCCTGGCGATGCTCAGGGGACCCTATGGGATGCTGAGAATCGAACCCGGGTCGGCCGCGTACAAGGCAAAAGCCCTCCCCGCTGTGCCCTCTCTCCGGCCCCACTTTTTTTTTTTTTTTTTGCTTTTCGGGTCACACCCGGCGATGCACAGGGGTGACTCCTGGCTCATGCACTCAGGAATTACCCCTGGTGGTGCTCAGGGGACCGTATGGGATGCTGGGAATCAAACCCGGGTCGGCCACGTGCAAGGCAAACGCCCTACCCGCTGTGCTGTCGCTCCAACCCTGTCCATAGAATGGCTTTAAGGAGACCTCCGAGCCTGCATCTGGACTGGGCAACCATGGCCGCATCATCCCACATGAGCCGCGACCTCCGTAGCCCGAAGTGGGGAGCTGAGGGTTCCAGGGGCAGGCTGCTCCCCATCTGGTGGGCATTGTGGGGGGGGTCCTAGATGGGAGAACCATACCTCTACCTGGCCTCGGACCCTCAGCTAGAATGTGGAGGTGTAAGGGACCAGAGCAGTAGTGCAGCGGGGAGGGCATTTGTCTTGCGTGCCGCAGAACCTGATCTGATCTCCATCTGGTCCCCTGAGCACTGCCAGGAGCGATCCCTGAGCACAGAGCCAGGAGCATCACTCGGTGTGACCCAAAAACGTGGAGGTCTAGGGCTGGAGCTGTAGTACAGCGGGTACAGCAGCCTGGACCCCTGCCTGGCACACAGCTGATCCGGGTTTGATCCTCGGCATCCCATGGGTCCCCTATGCACCGCCATGAGGAGTTCCTGAGTGCAGAGTCAGGAGTAAGTCTGAGCATCACTGGGTGTGGCCTACCCCGCCCACCCCAATAAAAGAATATGCTAGAAAAAAGAATTCAGTCAGCCCCTGCTCATGTCTGACTGTTGGGGTGTTCATCTGGGCGTCCGGCTCTGCGTCCACCAAAGACGTGTGGGTCCCCTTTTCTCAGCGTCCATGGGCAGCCAGGTGAGGAGCGGGGTGGTCTGCTCCCCAGGGCTGCAGGGAGCAGGGGTGGGTGCCCCCCCAGCCCGCCCCCAGCCTCAGCACCTTGCTCCCCGCTGTGTCCAATTAGTCCCGAGGAGGTTCCATTTCCTCCTCTCTCCGCTCTATTTGGATTTTTTTGCTTTTAATTCAGGGAAGCAGGGGTGGGGGAGGAGGGAAGGTGTTTCAATCAAGTCCCCCGTAATATAAGAAAAATTACATTTTTCTCTCCGAGACGGGAGTTTCATAAAGATAATTATTGTAATTATTCGTCCTATCTCTGTGACGAATGTTATTTTTATTACGTGCTTTTTATCTTCATCTCCCAGCTGAGGGGTCTGGGCGGGGGGGCGGGGGGGGCAGCCGCTGAAAGGCCAGCAGTGTATTATGGTGTGTGTGTGTGTGTGTGTGTGTGTGTGTGTGGAGGGTGGACAGGTGGGGTCACCCCCCTCCATTTGTGAAAGTGCTCACGGGACGGAGGGTCCCTCCTCTGACCCTTTGGGTTTCAAGCTTCCTCCCGGCACACTAAGGGATTCGTCCCCTGCTGGACTGCTGTCATGTGGCCCAAGGGGCCAGGAGCAGTGATGGAATTCTTGGCCCAAGGACAAAGGTCCCTTGGCCTTCAGGTGATCTGAGCAGTCTGGGACATGAGTGGGGAACCTCATCTCCCGGGTATAGGTGATTTCTGGGGAGAAGTTTGGCCCCCTCTCCCCGGTGTTGGGGGGCTCTTCCTGGCTCTGTGCTCAGGAGCGACCCCTGGTGGTGCCCGACTGCCATAGGCGGTACAAGCAAAGCCTTCTCCCCACTGGGGCAGCCCCATCAGAGGCAGAGGGTTGATTTCCAAATAAACCCCCATCTCTGGGTGCCAGGCACGAGTTATTCCCAGATTCATTCATTCACTGCACTGAGTTTTTGTTTTTGTTTTTGTTTGTTTTTTGGGTGTGTTTTTTTTTGCTTTGTTTTGTTTTGTTTTGCTTTTTGGGTCACAGCTGGCGACGCACTGGGGTCACTCCTGGCTCTGCACTCAGGAGTTACTCCTGGCGGTGCTCAGGGGACCAGATGGGATGCTGGGAATCGAACCTGTGTTGGCCGCGCGCAAGCAAACGCCCTACCCGCTCTGCTATAGCTCCAGCCCCCCGAGTTTTTGTTGTGGGGCCACCGCCAGCCATACTCAGGGCTGACTCTTCTCTGTGGGCTGGGCTCTGTACAGCAGCGTACAGGGCATTCCCACCCCGCTGGGTTATCACTCCTGCCAGCAGGCAGATTCTTTCTTCTTTTTGGGGGAGGGGCCAAACCCTGCATTGCTCAGGGGTCCTGACAGTGCGTGGGGAACCCTGTGCCAGAGATCAAACCTGGGCCAGCAGCACCCTTCCCAATTTACCTTTCACTGTGGCCACTGCAAAAATAGATATTTTTTTGGCGGGGGGTCACACCCAGTGATGCTCAGGGGTAGCTCCAGGCTCTGCACTCAGGAACTACCCCTGGCGGTGCTCAGGGGACCATATGGGATGCTGGGAATCGAACCCAGGTCGGCCGCTTGCAAGGCAAACGCCCTACTCGCTGTGCTATCGCTCCAGCCCCAAGAAATAGATTCTTCCTCATCTCCTTTGAGCCCTGCGCCGTCCTGGATGAGATGGAACCAGACATCAACACCTGCTTCCAGCCTCTCTCCAGAGTTAGGGTCCAGCCATGGGAGGCTTAAGAGTGTGTAGGTCTGAAGGGAAATGGGGGCATTGTGTCCAGGGTTTTGATGTATGAGGAGGAGTTTTATACATGACTCCGCCTGGGGTCAGGGTTGGGTCGCCAACCTGGGGAAGAAATACAACCTCAGGGGATTGTATTTGAGAGTGTCATGGCTGCCCAGTCTCAGTTTCAACCCCTGTCTTCCAGCTGCCACACCACCCAACGCCGTCGACAGGCCCTGCCTTCGGTTGAAGGTTTATGTGAAGCCAACCAGTAAGTGATCGGAGGGAGGGGTGATGATATGGGCCCTCACCCCTGTGTGCCCAAACCCACAGAACCCAGGGGATGCTCAGGGCAGTTCTTTTTTTAGTTTTTGGGTCACACCTGGCAATGCACAGAGGTTACTCCTGGATCATGCACTCAGGACTTACTCCTGGCGGTGCTCAGGGGACCATATGGGATGCTGGGAATCAAACCCGGGTCAGCCGCATGCAAGACAAACACCCTACCTGCTGTGCTATCACTCCAGCCCTTGCTCGGGGCAGTTCTTGAATCTCAGCATTGCTGGTACTGTTAGGCTCTGGCTTCAAGTCTCAGTTTCCCCAACCTGTATATATATATATATATATATATATATATATATAGGTAAAGGTAAAGGCCCTCCCGTTGTTCGTCGATTTGCTCGAGCGGGCCCAGTAACGTCTCCATTTTGAGACTTTTTGTTACTGTGCTTGGCATATCAAATATGTCACAGGTAGCTTGCCAGGCTTTGCTGTGCGGGCGAGATACTCTCGGTAGCTCGCCAGACTCTCTGAAAGGGATGGAGGAATTGAACCCGGCTCGGCCAGGCCAGCCGCATACAAGGCAAACGCCCTACCGCTGTGCTATCGCTCCAGCATATAGTAAAGGCCCTCCCGTTGATCATCGATTTGCTCGAGCGGGCCCAGTAACGTCTCCATTGGAGACTTTGTTGTTACTGTGTTTGGCATATCGAATACGTCACGGGGAGCTTGCCAGGCTCTGCCGTGCGGGCGAGATACTCTCGGTAGCTTGCCGGGCTCTCCGAGAGGGGCGGAGGAATCGAACTCGGGTCGGTCATGTTGGCTGCGTGCAAGGCAGACGCCCTACCGCTGTGCTATCGCTCCAGCATATATGTATGTTTTTATTTGGGGGCCACACTCAACAGTGCTCAGGGCTTACTCCTGGCTTAGGAATTATTCCTGATGGTGCATGGGGGGAGGGGGTCCTATGGGATGCTGAGGATCAAACTCGAGTCAGCCACCTGCAAGGCAAGTGTCCTACCCCAGTACTATCATCTTTTTGCCAACCCCCCCACCAGGACATTTCTTTGTGTTGCTGTTATTTTTTATTTTATTTTATTTTATTTTTGCTTTTTGCGTCACACCCGGCAATGCACAGGGGTTACTCCTGGCTCTGCACTCAGGAATTACTCCTGGCAGTGCTCAGGACCATATGGGATGCTGGGAATCGAACCTGGGTCGGCCACCTGCAAGTCAAACGTCCTACTCTCTGTGCTATTGCTCCAGCCCCGTGTTGCTTTTCTTTTGTTTTGGGGCCAAACCCAGCAGTGCTCAGGAGCTACTCCCAGTTCAGTGCTCAGGAGCTATTTCCTGGCAGTGCTCAGGGGCATCAAGGTACCAAGGATCAGGCCTAGGCCTCGTGGGCAATGCATGGTCTCCAAGCTGTTGCACCATCTCCCCCCAACCCTGGGCTGGGAACCCGGGGGACTTCAGAGCCACACTCCAGTCAAGAAGGAGGTTCGGGCTAGGGCCGGAGTGATAGTCCAGTGGGGAGGACATTTGCCTTGCACGTGGCCAACCCGGGTTCGATCCCGGTATTCCATAGGATCCCCCGAGCACCGCTAGGAGTGATTCCTGAGTACAAAGCCAGGAGTCAGGCCTGAGCATTGCCAGGTGTGACCCACCCCCCCAAAAAAGAGAAGGGGCTTGGTGGGGTGGGCACAGTGAAGAGATAATACAACAGGTCTGGCATCTGCCTTGCACACGGCCGCCCCGAGTTCAATAACTGGCACCATAGGGTCCCCCAAGTACTGCCAGGAGTGATCCCCGAGCACTGAAGCTGGGAGACATCCCTGAGCACTGTTTGGTGTGGTTAAAAAGAAAATCAGGGGGCCAGAGTGATAGTCCAGCGGGGAGGGCATTTGCCCTGTATGTGGCTAACCTGGGTTCGATCCCCGGTGTTCCCTGTGGTCCCCTGAGCACCACCAGGAGTAATTCCTGAGTGCAGGGCCAGGTGTAATCCTTGAGCATCGCTGGGTGTGACTCAGAAAGCTGGAAAAAAAAAAAAGTGGAAAGGGCTGGAGTAATAACACAGCGGGTAGGGCGTTTGCCTTGCACGCAGCTGACCGGGGTTTGATTCCCAGCATCCCATAGGGTCCGTCGAGCACTCCGTCAGGAGTAATTCCTGATTGCAGAGCCAGGAGTAACCCCTGTGCATCGCTGGGTGTGACCCAAAAAGGGAAAAAAAAAAAGTGGGGACTTTCACCTTCACCAGGGGGGCAGGCATACAGATATTTGGCACCTGCTGTTTCTGGGGAGGGGGGTGGGCAGCCAGTGGAGGGGGGACCCTGCTGACCATCTTGCCTGTGTCCGTCTGTCCATCCCCCCAGATGAGACAATCTACGAGCCCCCGGAGCTGATCTTCACCAGCAATAACTCGTGCAGCGCCCTGGGGAGCTGCCGCCTGTTCCTCAGCGCCGTCCCCGTGTTGTGGGGTCTCCTGGGGTCCTAGTCGCGGCCCCCGCCGGACATCGCCCACCTCCGAGACCAAATAGAAACGTCGGCGCTTTCTCCTTCCTCCAACTGGTGCAGAGTCCGCGGTGGGGGGGGGGGGGCAGGACTGGCCTCTGGGCTTGCGTGCGAGCCCCTGGATGTCGGGTCCAGCCCCGACCCCGGCCGGGCCAAGCCATCGCGTCGCGGGGGGTGCGCGGAGAACCCCAGAACCTCACGGCGATGTCGATACGGGCGCGTTTGCGCGTGTGCGTGTGTGTGTGCGTGTGTGTGCGTGGTTTTTCTTTTTTTTTGTTTGTTTGTTTGTTTTCCAGCGTCTTTTTCATGGTTGGATCAGAAAGAGTCGATTTTTAAATCTTAATTTATTCCTTGCTGATGCCGGTGACTTTGGGACAGGAGCTCAGTTGGCTGGGGCAGGGGGGTGGGGGGTGGGGGGTCTCAGGGGGGTGCGCCTAAGGGGGAAGGGCTAAGCCCCTGGCCTCATGCCCCCCGCCCCAGGACACCCCCTCCCCCTCCAGATGCCCACCTCTTGCTCTTGGAATTGGCTTCCTGAGTCAAAACTCATAATGTCTTAGCAGAGGCCGGTGGGATCCTGGACAAACCCCCCACCCCACCATATCACAGCACCCCACATCTTAGAGAACCACTTAGAACCGACCCCTCCCCCCGTAATCCTCAGCGCCCTCCCACCTTCTTTGAATGGTGGCACCCCCAAGGCCCAGAAGACATTATTTTTCTGTAAATACAGCCAGCGAGTAGATACTGTGATTTCTCCACTGTTTTCTGCAGGAACTGTCTCTGTCTGCTCTGTCTGTTTCCAGCCCCCCCTCTTCGTGGGGGGGGGGGGAGGGCTTTTATTTTGGTGGGGGGGTGGGGGGGAAACTTTTTAGACTAGGAATCACACATGGCAATAAACTCTTTTCTTCGTCTGTCGGGGCCCCCTCCCCTCTCTCCCCTGTGGTCTAATAATGTTTCTAAGAAAAAAAAAAAAGAAAAAGGGGGGGCAGGATTCACCACCCAAAAGACACACACACACACACACAAAACAAAACCGGAAACGGACCTCCCCCCCAGGACACTTTAATGAAGCGAGCGGTGCATTTATACCAGATTTCATATTTCTATCCCTTACCTGGTCTGTGTTTTCTATATATTATATATAAATATATATGGTGCGTGGCCGCCGGGCGACGGCTGGGGCGCACCTGGGGGCGGGGTTTTGTAGGGGGCGGCGTGGGCGGGCAGCGTGACCAAGCCTGGCGCTGGCCACGGGGCCTCCCCCCACCCCCATCACAATCGACTTTGGATTCTGTATTTTTTTATAATAAAATGAGCGGCAGCCTCGAGGGTGTATGTCTGTTTGGGGGGCCCGTGGGATGATTTCGGGGGGAGGTGATTTGGCGGGGTATCAAGAAACAGGGCCGGAATATAAAGTATCAGAATGGGAGATAGCACCCAAGAATAGTAGAGATATGGGGCTGGAGTGATAGCACAGTGGTAGGGCGTTTGCCTTGCACGCGGCCAGCCTGGGTTCGATTCCCAGCATCCCATCTGGTCCCCTGAGCACTGCCAGGAGTAATTCCTGAGTGCAGAGCCAGGAATAACCCCTGTGCATTGCTGGGTGTGACCCAAAAAGCAAAAAAAAAAAAAAATGCTTGTCAAATGTAGGCTATGGATCAAACACAACAGCCACTTAGTGCCTCTATTGCAAACAACAACACCCAGAAGGAAAGAGAGAGCAAAAAAGGGAATGCCCTGCCACAGAGGCGGGATGGGGTGGGGGGGATAGGGTGGGGGTGGTGGGAGGGATACTGGGATCATTGGTGGTGGAAAATGGGCACTGATGGAGCGATGGGTACTCGGTCATTGTATGACTGAAATGTAAACATGAAAGTTTGTAAGTCTATTACTGTACCTCACGGTGATTCACTAAAAAAAAGAAAAGAAAAGATTCATTTAAAAAAAAAAGAAAAGAAAAGAAATAGGCCCCTGGGGCTAGAGCGATAACATAGTGGGTAGGGCGTTTGCCTTGCACGCGGCCGACCCGGGTTCGATTCCCAGCATCCCATAGGGTCCCCAAGCACCACCAGGGGTAATTTCTGAGCGCAGAGCCAGGAGGAACCCCTGAACATTGCTGAGTGTGATCCAAAAGGGAAAAAAAAAAGAGCTGACCTTTTTAACTTGGGGGATTGTTTGGAGGGTGGCCTGGTGCTGGGAGGAGCCTTTTGGGGGTGTTCCTTAACCCCCCAAGTGCCTCACATTCTTCTGGGAAGTGAGTATTAGACTTCTGCTCCCGACACTGCACCCCAGGGTGACTTGGAAGAAGAAGAGAAGACAGGGGCAGCTGAGTACCCTGGGGGGTTGTTAACATCCCAGGAATGGGGGCCCCAGAGATAGGACAAGTGAGCACTGCCAAGTGTAACCCCCAAAACCCCAAAAAAATGTTTCAGGGGCTTGGAAGCCCAGAGTTATGGTGTAGGGATTTGAACTCTGGCCTTTAAAGCATATGGTCACAGGCCTGATTCCTGGTGCCCCCATATGTGCTGAGAATGGCCCTGGCATGCTGCTCTCTGTGATTCCCTGGGCCTCAGTGATCGTTTTGGGTTGGGGTTACACCCACAATGCTCAGGGCTTCCTCCTGGCTCTGTGGCCAGGGATCACTCTGGCCAGGCTCAGGGGACCCTATGGGGTGGTGCTGGGGATTGAACCTGGGTTGGCTGCGTGCAAGGCAGACGTCCTCCCCGCTGGACTATGGCTCTGGTCCCAGCATAGCCAGTGATGTGCCACCACCACAAAGGGGGGTGATCCTCGGCACCCCAGAGGCTCCCATAAGCACTGCCATGAGTAATCCCTGGGTGCAGAGCCAGGAGGAACCTCTGAAGACTGCCAGGTGTGCCCTCCCCACCCAAAAAAAATGTTCAGGGACAAGCTCAGATCTTGTTCATACTTGGGGATCTTGTCTGAATTCTGGGTGGTTTCCTGCTCCCCCTCTGAACTCAGTTTCCCCAGCTGTCCAAAACCATGGTGTCTGGGGCTGGAGTGATAGCACAGTGGGTAGGGCATTTGCCTTGCATGCAGCCAACCCAGGTTCAGTTCCCAGCATCCCATATGGTCCCTCGAGCATCGCCAGGAGTAATACCTGAGTGCCTGAACCAGAAGTAACCCCTGTGCATTGTGTTGGGTGTGACCCAAAAAGAAAAAAAAAAACAAACCAGGGTGTCTGTTGTCTCTTAATCACACCCCTGGGGCTGGAGGAGCTAGAACGTTTGCCTTGCATGTGGCTGACCTGGGTTCGATCCCCGCCACTGCACAGAGGGTTCCCCGAGCACTGCCAGCACCTCCAGGAGTGATCCCTGAGCACAGAGCCAGGAATAACCCCAAGCACAGCCTGGTATAGCCCCCCTACAAAAAAGAAGTTATACACTCCCATTGTGTCAGGAAAGGGCGGGTGACTGTGGTGTCTGAGGTCCCGAGGCTTTCGGGGCCTGAGGTTCCTATGGGGCTGCAGAACTGGACAGGATTAGCCTGGAGGGAAGGCTCGGGGCTAATTAATGCAGGCACACTGGGCTGGCTGACGGGCACTGCGTCTTAATGAGCTGCGGAGCAGTACAAAGACCCCTTGTGTACCCCACTTGCCAGCCCAGCAGATTGGATGACTGAGCACCAGCGAGGACAACCTGGGAGATCCCCCACCCTGCAGCAGGGACACTGAGGTGATACCTACTCTCCCTGAGACCCACCTCCCACTCCTTCTATCAAGCCTGTAAGGTTTACAGAGGGGCTGTCACTATTAAGGTCCTAGGGGTGGATCTGAGAAGCCAATTTCCCTTCTGTGACAAAAAAAAAAAAAACATGATTGAGGGCCAGAAAGATGGTCCAATGGGTAGTGCACTTGCACTAGTGTTGGATCCCCGGCACCCCATAGGGTCTCTTAGACCCAACAGGAGTGACCCCTGAGTACAAAGCCAAGAGTGGGCCCTGAGTACCACTGGCATAGCCATAACCCCAAAACCACACCAAAAAAGTCACAAATTATTGAGATGTGAGGCCAAACAGATAGCCCAGCATGGAAGGCATTTGCCTGCACACAGCTGACCCATGTTTGATCTTCAGCATTCTATAGAGAACTCCAGCCCCACCAGGCATGATCCGTGAGCACAAAGCCAAGATTAAGCCCTGAGCACTGATAGGTGTGGCCCAAAATGCCATAAAAAAAAAATTGGGGGCAGAGTAATAGTACAGTAGGTAAGGCTTTTGCCTTGCACACAGACCACCCCAAATTCAATCCCCGGAATCCCATATGGCTCCCAAGCACTGCCTTGCGGTGTACAGAGCCAGGAGTAACCCTTGAGCATCGTTGAGTGTGACCAAACCAAAATTGGGTCACAGCTATCAGTGAAAACAAATCAAATCACCTTAACTGTCTTGTTCCAGAACATTCCATTAACCCTAAAAGGAGGCTTATGTTCATCATGAGTGGCCCCACACCTCCCCGCACCCACCCTGTCCCACGCACCTACTTCCTGTCTGCAGACAGGCCTGTTTGTGTGGGGACCTCCGAGTTCTGGTGTATTTCCCTGAGTATCCTGGGTTCTAGGGTGTCCATGTGATGTGGGGTATCAGAGTCATCCTTCCCTTCATAGTCCCCAGGGTGTCCCTGCTTCGACTGCTCTGAGATGATTAGCACGGTAGCACTGTCCTCCCACTCATTGTTCATCGATTTGCTCGAGCGGGCACCAGTAACGTCTCCATTGTGAGACTTGTTACTGTTTTCGGCATATCGAAGACACCACGGGGAGCTTGCCAAGCTCTGCCATGCAGGCGGGATACTCTTGGTAGCTTGCCGGGTTCTCCGAGAAGGATGGAGGAATCGAACCCGGGTTGGCCGTGTGCAAGGCAAACACCCTACCCTCTGTGCTATCGCTCCAGCCTCGGCCAACCCGGGTTCGATTCCTCCGTCCCTCTCGGAGAGCCAGGCAAGCTGAGATGATTAGGGATTAGTAATCTGTGATGATTATTCCCACCAACACTCTAGTCTGCC